ACCCCAAACCCCTAAACTCTAAACCGATGGTCGAGCAGAATCCTCAACAGACCAAAGCCCTAAACTCTAGAACCCCAGAGTTCAAAACTGCCCTAAACATTGAAACCCTGAAGCCCTAAGCCCCAAGGGTTTAGGGTTTAGGGTTTAGGGTTTAGGGCCAAGCCCGAAAGCCCTGCACCCCTAAGCCCAAATCCTAAATCCCTGATACTAAACCCTACAGCTCAAATCCCTTGAGACGGGACCATGAAGAAGGCAAGCCCCGCAGAACTGAGATCTGAAATCAGATCGTGCTGCGATTCATCCGAGGAATTAGATGGGTTTAAAATCTGCTGGAGTTTTAGGTTTTTTTGTGTTTGGGTTAGGTGTTTGGGGTTGTGTGAGATCCGGTTGTGAAGCCCAAAACCCTAAACCCCGAGGCCCTAAACCCCAAACCCCAAAACCCAAACCCCTTCTTTCACATCATTGGGCATGTTCTGCCACTCAGCAAGAACACGACGAGTGGCGGCTCGCGAGGGGTTAGGGACCATCCGTTGCCCCCTAAACCCTAAACCCTAAACCCCTAAACCCTAAACCGAATGGAGCACTGAACCACACCACTCTGAAGCCGATACGCAAGCCATGGCCTGGGACAACAAAGAGCTGCACGAGAAGTTTGAGCCCTTGTTGCGCCGCTTGGAGGATGGTTTAGGGCTTTAGGGGTTTAGGGTTTAGGGTGGAGGGTTGAGAGTTTTGGGTTTGGGGTTGAGGTTTTAGGATCTCAGGTTACCGCCTTTAGGATTGCAGGGGGTTGAAGAGTGTACTAGGACTCGGGGCTTTAAGCCCTGCTCAGTGAACCCTAAATTCCAAACTCTTGAACCCCAGATCCCTAATTTCGAAACCTTGCAAGCTTTGCAAACCCTAAACCCTAAACCGTAAACTATCACAAAGCCCCACGTAGTAACAAGTTGAAACCAGCAAAGTTTGGATCCATAAGCCGTGGCGCTGCATTCCAAGCCTTCTAGGTCGTCGTTGCACAGTGGTCTCAGGATTTTGGTTATGGTTTGTGGGTGTACGTCGTTTTTCACGAGGCCCCTTCATGATGGGGCCACTTGGCGGCGGGTTCCGAAATTTTGAGTGAGGGCTGTAGGATTGCGTTGAAAATGAATCACCAGGGTGCAGGGTCATCAATGTATCATTGCCATCGTGATCACTCTCGCCGTATGTGTCGTCTTCATTATTATACCATCGTCAGCATCATCATCATCACCACCACCATCGCCATCACCATCAGCATTACCATCACCATCACCATCAGCATCACGATAGCTGTCATCACCGTCATCGTCATCATCATCCTCCTCCTCCTCCTCATCACCATCACCATCATCATACTCATAATCCTCCTCCTCCTCCTCCTCAGCATCATCATCACCATATCCCCCTTCCTTAGAAAGTGAAGATGATGGGGTGGGGTACCACAGAACCGCCAGAGCCTCCACTTTCACTTTCTGGGGTGTCCTGGATACACAAGTAGAAAGTGAAGATAGAATCCCGGCACGTACATATTTCCAAG